CGCCGTCGGGAGCAGCGTGCACTCGGGCCTGGGCGCGGCCTTTGCCTCGGCCTTTGGCGCGGGAGGACTTGCGGGCTCTGCGGTGGCCGTTCATGGCGGCGGCGGACTCCGCTCCAAAGCCACGTTCTGCTCGCGCGGCCGCTGCCGTCAGCTCGCGGGCTATGGACCGTGAGTCTGCGCAGCGCCCGCCGACGTCACGACTGCGCAAAGGCGACGTCATGGTGCGCCGCGGCCCGAGCATCGCGAGACTTGCTTCCTGTGTGTTTGAATGAATGGTTTCTTTGGTTCATTAAAACACATCCTTTATTTTGGCTTGTGTATTTCATTGATTTCACTAAGCATTATGTTTCAAGGTGTACTTATTTTCCTAAAAAGGTCTTGAATTTGCCCTTCTTCATAGGCAAGTAGTATTCTATTCCATTATGTATAGATGCCATATTTTCTTTTTATTTTTATTTCAAAGAGAAAAGAACCAAAAAAAAAAGGCAAAAACAAAACAACACAAAAACAATAAAAATGATGCAGAATTTCAAAACAAGGTATTACATATTGTTATCTTCAAAGTAGTTGCTCAGATTACCAGATATAGGTATGTAAGATTGGTCAAACAATTAAACATTAACTATTCCTTTCAATAAACCAATAGAAATTAGTAATACAATTATTTTAGCTATCTCATGTATAGATATATACTTTTCTCATCCTTCTTTCTTTCTTTTCTCCTTTCCCTCATCCCAGTTGTTCTTTGCTATTGAGCAGTTTCTTTCCCTTTCACAATATCTATTGTACCTTTCAGATTTTATTTACTCTTCAAGGTTTTTACACTAGAGAGACAATATGATGTTTACACATGCAAGTCTGATTTATTTCACTTATGAGTATGGTCTCTAGTTGCATCCATTTACCTATGAAAGCCTCATGTTTACCTTTCTTTATAGCTGAGTAATACTCCATTGTATAAAAATACCACATCTCCTCAGCTGATGGGCATTTAGGTTGTTTCCAAGATTTTTCTATGACAAATTATGCTACTATAGACATGGGTGCACATATATCACTGCAGTATGATGTTTTCAGTTCCTCAAAAAATACCCAAAAGGGGAATTGATGGGTTATATGGGACCTCTAATACTAAATTTTTGCAGAATCTCCAGACTGATTTCCAAAGTATTTGGAAAACACAAAGTGTTCCATTATTAATTTGCTATCATCTTGTTTTGAAATTCTGTATCATTTTTATTGTTTTTGTGTTGTTTTGTTTTTCTCTTTGCTTTTGTTATTTTGTTTTTGTTCTTTTCTTTGTAAAATAAAAAATAAAATTTATATTGCCACCAACAGTGAAGAAAGGTTCATTTTTCCCCACAGCCCCTCCAACATTTGTTGTTGGTTAATTTCTTGATGAGAGCTAACTGTCTCTCAGACAAAGGACTTACATCTAGAACATGTAAAGAACTGAAAAAAATCAGATCCCCCCCCCAAGTTCAAAGATCCAATCCAAAAATGAGTATCTGAGATGAATATGCACTTCCCAGAGGAAGAACTACAAATGGCAAATAAATACACAAAAACAATTCAACATTGTTGGTCATTCAAGAGATGCAAATTAAAACAACTGTGAGATTTCATCCCTAAAACACTCTTGAGATCCAGCCAGTCATGACTTTTTCTCCTCCAAGCTTTAGGACAAATGGGTTTTTGAAGTGCCCTCCCCCGCCCTAGAAACGCCTCTGGCCATTCATCCCAGAATGTGGTTAATGTCCAAATCAAAGCGTGCCCTTGCACACAATGGGAGGTGGGAACTGCGATCAGTCCTCTGGGCTCTGCTTGCGGTAGGCCATGGGGCAGGCTGCAGGTGGACTGATGGACTTACTGTTGACAGTCGTGCAGTCCGGTTCCTCCCGTCTCTTCTCAGTCTTTGTGGTGGATGATCAGGTCTGTTCTCCATTGCTTTGGCTGCCACATAGTGCTGCCTTGGAGGTGGTGGATGATCGTGTCCTTGGGAGGGACATGTTTCCCATTTGCTTATGTGGGGGCTGCTGTATGCATCTCCAGGTATCTGTGCAGGTGTGTGTGCTCCTGTCGGTGTGGGCCTGCTTGCTTAGTGTCTTTGATTTTTCTTTTTCACCTTAATCCTCTCATCCAAATTACGAGGAAATTCTATTAGTGTTACTTGTATGTTTAGAATGTGACTACTTCCTGTCATCCTGGCAAGTTACAGTTATCTCTTCAGTGGATTGTCCTGACAGTCTCCTGGTGGGTTTCTCTGTTTCTCACTTCCCTCCAATCCTTTTAACACAGCAGCCAAAGATCTTAGCACCAGGTACATTTTTCCTGTTACCTTGTGTAAAGTCTCCTCTCACAGTTTTGTTGCCTTGAACCTGTTTGATTTGTCTTCATAGGACTTACTGCTTTCTGAGTTACATATCCACTTCTATATCCTCATTGTGTGGCTCTGCCTCCATTATGTCTGGGAAGGATGTGGACACTGTAACATCTTGGAAAGTAAGCATTTTATTTTAAATTCTAAATTTCTAACCTTTAGAAGCATATGTGTGGGCCAGGCATGTACCTCAGTGGCACAGTGAATTCCTTGGCAAGCACAAGGTCCTGAGTTCGATTCCCAGTACCAAAACATAAAAAAATAAAAAACATACATTTGGGCCAGGGATATAGCTCAGAGGCACAAGTGCCTGCCTGGCAAGTGCAAGATCCTGAGTTCGATTCCCAGTACCAAAAAAAAAAAAAAAAAGAGTATTTGTGACTTCAGTACTTGCTCATATAGGAAGAATGATGTATCACTCAGTGTTTCACTACAGAAACAAATATAACACAAGAAATCCAAATATGTAAGAATTTATAGCCAGGCATGGTGGCCCATGCCTGTAATCCCAGCACTCAGGAGGCTGAGGCAGGAGGATCACCGTGAGTTCAAGATACCAGCCTGGACTGCATAGTGAGACCCCATCTCAAAAACACACACACAAAAAAAGAATTTATAAGATTGGCTTACAATAACCACCCACAGAGTCAGATGAGGAAGAGTGGTCTGTCTGCACATTGGAGACCAAAGGATTCAGTCCAAGGCCTGGAGCTCACTGCAGTGTCACATGTGAGTCTGTATCAGGAGGCTGATGAGTCTCCAATGGAAGGCTGAAAAGTCTACACTGGAAAGCTGAAGGATCTACACTGAAAGCTAAAGAGTCTGCTTTGGAAATCAGGAGATGATATCCAAGGTGAAGGCGAAGACTGGAGCTCTCTGAAGAAACAGAAGCCAGTCTGTCCTTCACTGCCCCATTGTACCATCCAGGCGAAGAGCCACCCTAGAGTGTGGAATTGCTGAGTCCATTTAGTTCAGCTTCTCTTAACTAAACTCAAGTTGACACAGTCAAAGAATCGTCACAAATGACATCTTTTTGCAGAGGAAGTTTTTGTTGTACTCTATTATTATGCTCATTATAATCACTGGCAGATGGACCCACAAGGAGACTACATGACATCCTTCGTGAATATTCTACATGAATGTCAAATGTGAGTGGTACATCAAAGATAAACTAGACTAGCTCTACATTTTATACAAAATTGGAAATCACAGAGTGTGAGAGACAGAGAGCTGAAAGGGCCTGTCAGTAGTTAATCAAGGAATAAACCAGAGGTAGAAGTCTTCTTTTTCTTTATTTATTTTTAAAATTTATTTTCAGTGGGCAAGTCTTGGGAAAAAAATCTCTTTATGTGTCCAAATTTCTATTTTCTTCTTTTTATTTCCTTGTTATTGGGTGTAAACTTTTGTGGAAATATCAATGTCTTGTGTTTTTTTTTGGTTTTTGTTTTTGTTTTTTTTTTTTGTTTGTTTTTCTCCGGTACCGGGAACTGAACTCATGACCTTGTGCTTGCCAGGCAGGCGCTTTTGCCGCTGAGCTAAATCCCCAGCCCCCGAAATGTCAATGTCTTAAAATAGATTTTGAAACTTTTCTCAAGCCATACTTTATTTGGCAAAGTTCTACTCTAGAGAAAAGAAATTCCACAGGGAAGTTGTTCTCTTGATTATTCTACTGGGTTTAATTAATTATAGATAGTTCCAAAATCTCAATATTTAATCAGCAACTTTGGGTGAGTGTGGAGGATTTTCCCATCAAAGCATGATTTTATACTCTCTTGATTTGCTGTTCCCACAACTTTTACTTAAGTGTCATAAATCTGCACATGAACATTGATTTGGATCTTATGAATTTTCTGTGTGTGTTTTGGTACATGTGTGTTACTATGTTTTCTAACAGCTCCTAAAACTATTGGTGATTTGTCTTGGAAACAAATCCTATCCTTGAATTCTGGTGGTAACCACCACACGGTGTCAGCAGAAGACAGAGTAATATTGTTAAAAGGGCACTGTTTATGAGTTAGTAACTTGGGAAATAAATGGAGTGTGGTTTTGGGAAACCAATTAAGGTCTCCCAGCATCTGTGATCTCATCTGTTAGAAGCAGAAGTTAGAATAACATTAAATTATTTTCAGTATCACTATCAGGGTGGCTCAGAGTGTGACCTGGACATTGCTCATGGAGGCCTGCAGTGAGGAACCAGCCAGGCAGTGCTAGCAGCCAGGCAGTGCTAGCAGCCATTGCAGAAAGACCAGGGTCTGCAGGGAAGAATCCAGTGTTTCTTCTCATCCAAGATTTTGCAAACCAGAACATCTCCTCAAATAATGGTCCTTTCCAGCAGAGTGGTGAACTTCATACTAAGTTGGAGATACTTGGGTGTATTTGAAATCTACCTGGTCCAGTTTCCTGTCCCAGGGTACAGCAAAACCACTCCAGCTCTTCAGACCTAAGGTAGGTAAGTAGAAGCAAGGTCAGTGTTTCTAAGAATATTGGGCAACCTACTTTTCTCTCATAGCCAGAAGAGTTCATTTGTATAATAAGGTAGTTGATCTGATTTTTTTTTTTTTTTTTTTTTTTGGTGTAGGGGCGAGGAGGATGAATTACATGGATCATTTTTATTGTGGAAAAATATAAGCAGCATGAAATTTGATGATTTTAAAGTCTCTCCCAATTTTTGGAATCTGGGAGATACCTCCTGGAAATCAAATTAGCCTTTCACTGAGGTAGACAATTTCAGGGCTTTCCTGATTACTCTTCAGCAGTACAGTGATCTGAAGAAAGATAAATATAGGAAGCCATGTCCAGATAGCAGCTCCAGGACAGAGCGAGTGGGTGCAGCAGGGCGCTAGGAAGTAACTAGGTGTCAGATGATAGTGCGAGGAGGAGATGGCAGCAAGATTAAAGGGAAAAGGGCACACAAGGTGCAAGTGTACAGGTTGTGTTAACAGGGTGGGATGACAGAAGGTTGACAGCGCAAAGGAGGCATGCATCAAATACAACATCCAGGCTGCCAGTCTGTACTGCATGGAGGGTGATGGGGTCACCACAGTACCTGCTAGGTTGCACTGGCCTGTGGGTCCCCCGTGTCTCCACAGCTTAGTCCCATCAGCTGCGACCCCAACCTCTCTGTCCACAGTTTCCCTTGGGCTTGTGAGCGAAGACGTGGAGAGGTGACTCTGAGGGGTCTCAGCATCTCGTCCTCTTCTCACTCAGCTACTTGACTTGCAAGGTGCAGAGTTATTCCTAATGCTTCTGGGGCCCTGGTGTGCGCATAATTCCTTGTACTTGGAAGGCTGTGCTCTGAGGATCTTACCAACATTGCTTGCCTTGACCATGAGGTTCTGTGTAGGTAGGCAAAAAATAGAACTTAGTTGAGGAGTAAGAGCCCTTTCTTGCCACCCAAAAACACAACCACCTGAATTTCCATTTAAAACTTCAAGGATCAAGGATGCTGTGACCATTGAACTTGATCAGCAACTTGAATGGATTAGGAGACTTGTGGAGAGGTGGCAGATCACGGGGGTGCTGTACTAGTCAGTAGATTAACCCACTGATATTTATAGCTGAATGTTTTGCTAAGAGGGGAACCCAGCTGTATGTCTGTGCCTTTAAAACGTGTATGTCTCACTGAAACACTTCCCCCAGCCTCTGTTTCCTGGCTGCCAAGAAATGAGCAGCGCTGCTCCACCAGCCCTTCTGCTGTGATGTTCTAGCCTTGGACCCAGCTGACATGGGCTGAAACCTCTGAAAGAGTGCGCCAAATAAACATCTCGTCCTTCAAGTAGTGCGTGTCAGGCATTTTGCTCCAAGATGGGAAAGTTGACTAATACAGATACTTTGCATCTCTGCTGTGATAGTGTCTTCTTGCTCTAGTGGATTGCCTGCTCTGGAATACAAATTTCTCAGATTTTTAGTTTTTAACTTTTAACTTCCGCTTGTGTTCTTACCTAGGACTTCTGACACACTGATTTGTTTCCATTTGTGCATATCACTGACTTTTATTTCCTGATTTGCTTCTGTTTCTTGTTTGGGGTTAGTGTTTATTTCTTCAAAAGTATATTGATGAAAAATGTCACTATGAAATTAGAGAATGAATGGAAATCAATAGGGGTAAGTTTTACAGCTGGGACTCCAAGGGTTTATATTTTTTCTACCTTATTTCTTTTTTTTGTTTGTTTGGTTTTTTTTTGTTTTGTTTTTCTCCGGTACCGGGAACCGAACTCACGACCTTGCGCTTGCCAGGCAGGCACTTTTGCCGCTGAGCTAAATCCCCAGCCCCTCTACCTTATTTCTGATGAGTCGTATGTGGCAAAAATTTCAGCTGGGGCCCCTTCATCCAGAGGATATTATCTTGAGTTACATGATACTGCTTGCTCAGGGAAGGGAATGTGATCTATATTTCTTCCATGCAATCTGATAGACGTTTAGATGTTGAAGAAGTTCAGAGAGTATTTGTCCCAAGGAAGTAAGTTGGAGAGAAAGTCCCGTTCCCATTATCGTATCCTTTTCTTGTTTAGTGTTTTTACTTTCATGAGTGTGTGTCTGCAATCCATAATGATTCCGTTCCTCGTGGGGAGCTGGTACCTGTACACAGACAACTCAATTCTTTTTTGTGCCTTTCCCCTTTCCTCCTATCCCCTCCCTCCATGGTCTGCTGCTACCAGTCTGGGACCACAGTGAGCAGATGCTCACCATCCAAGCTCCCAGAGAACCAGCATTGGGAGCTCAGGACATCGCTGGAGTTTGAGTGGGGGAAGATGTGGAAGTAAGAGTGGAATGATGGAGAGAATTCAGTCAGTTCAGTCCCCCCAGAGCGTGTGAACATTGATCGTGGAAACTTGCACGTTGAAGATACAAGACTGGTGAAAGACTCTGACCTGAGGTCATGGAGACTGGTGCAACTGTGGGCAGACAGTAGCACAGATGACCTTGGGAAGGGGAGCAATTATCAGGAAGGGAGTTCTTTGCAGTTTGGGCGGGTCTGCCTGAATTCATGTGCTGGAGCATTAATGGTGTCTGAAGGTGGGGCCTTTGGGAAGTTGTTGCATCTTGGTTGCAAAACATGGATATTCCTGGAGATGTAGATGCAGGAAACAGAGAACAGAGGAGTAGAAGTGCACAAAGTGACTCCCTGACAGGAAAGAACTATGAAAATGCAACAAACACAGTACAAATATAAGTCAATAACTTGAGCGGTTCCCCACACTTAGAGTAGTTTTTTGCCAACTGAGACAATCTCTTACTAAATGTCAGGAACACCAGTTCTGGGTTCCAAATTCATTTTTTTGTAGTTTAAGGTAAATAACCATTTTTTCAGAGCCTCGCTTTTCTAATAACAAGGGCAAACATACATAGATAATATAGTCTTACAATGTTAATATTCAGTGCTAAAAGTGTACGTACTGGCTAAACGAAGGGGTGAGTACCAGCTGGTATGCATCCTCTGAGGTGCTAAAATGAGGTACATTGGTGTTACAATCATTTCATTTTATTGCAGACCTCTGACTACCTAATATCCAGCTGAATCCATGGCCAGAGCACATAACGTGACCGAGTTCATCATCACCGAGCTCTTCCAGGACGCAGAGGTGCAGAGAGCGTGCTTCGTGCTCTTCCTCCCCGTGTACCTGGCCACGCTGGTGGGCAACGGCCTCATCGTCCTGACGGTCAGTGTCAGTGACAGCCTGCGCTCCCCCATGTACTTCTTCCTGGGCTACCTGTCCCTGGTGGAGATCTGCTACTCCTCCACCGTGGTCCCCAAGTTCATCGCGGATCTACTGTCCAAGATGAAAACCATCTCCTTCAAGGGCTGCCTGACCCAGATCTTCTTCTTCCACTTCTTTGCGGTTGCTGAGATCCTCCTGCTGGTGGTGATGGCCTATGACCGCTACGTGGCCATCTGCAGACCTCTTCATTATATGACCATTATGAGTCGCCAACTGTGTCACATGCTGGCGGCTGGCTCCTGGCTGAGGGGCTTTTTTCACTCAATTCAGATTCTGGTCACCATCCCTTTGCCCTTCTGTGGTCCCAGTGTGACTGACCACTACTTCTGTGACCTCCATCCCTTATTCAAGCTGGCCTGCGCCGACACCTTTGTGGAGGGCGTTATTGTGCTGGTCAACAGTGGATTGCTCTCCGCCTTCTGGCTCACCATCCTGCTGTGCTCCTGTGTGGTGATCCTGGTCAGCTTGCGGAACCATTCTGCAGAAGGCAGGCGCAAAGCCCTCTCCACCTGTGCCTCTCACATCACGGTGGTCCTCCTGTTTTTCGGACCTGCCACCTTCCTCTACGTGCTTCCCTCCTCCACCTACACTGAGGACAGACTGGTGGCTGTGTTTTTCACAGTCTTTACCCCCGTGCTCAACCCCATCATCTACACACTCAGGAACGGAGAGGTGAAAATCACCATGAGGCGACTGTGTGGCAGAAAGGCAAACTTGGGGATGGGAAAGTGAGGAGAACTGTGTGTTGGTTTAGTGTTTGTTTTGGAAATAGATTTTGATTTCACTGGGAGGGTCAGCAATGACAGAAACAATTATCAGGGCTTTCTGTCACTGTTGATGTGATTCTACTTAGTAACTAATGCCTCCTTGTGTTCTGGATGTAATGTTCAACACAGAAGTTAGAGATCCTCAGTGAATCTTACGGAACTTAATCCAGTCATTTCATGGTTTTGTGTAATGTGAAGACGAATCATGTTACATTCAAAGAATATTTTGACTCCGTTTTTTAAAAGTTCCATCATTTCCTTGTTTTGTTCATTACCTTCCTCCCTATAGAGTAAATTACATATTCATGGGCCACAGACTGACATTTTAATACACTTATATGATGTGTAATGATTCAACGAGTGTACTGATATTCTATCAGCTCACACAGTTATCATTTCTTTCTGTGGAGAATATTCAGAATATCTCCAGCTATTATAAAATATTCATTAATTCTCATCATGCATATTTACCTTGCCATCCCATAAAATATTCCACCTATCCCCCTGCACCACTGTATGGAGCACATTTTGATAAATGTTTTGGTAGTTAAAATTCCTTCTGCCTGCCTTCTTTCTTCCTCTGTCCTTGCCTCCTCTCATCCTTCCATACTTCTCCTTCCTCCTTTTCTTCTCCCCTCTTTGTTCGAGTTCTTTCATAATAACAACTTCTATTTCACTAAAAATGGAAGCCATATCATGGGTGACTTTCTCTTCCAATGTAGAGATTATGTCAGAGATTATGTAGAGACTTAACAGTTAAATCTGGGGAGTTTTCAATTCTGTGTATGCCTCTTGACATCTTCACTGTAGGTCATTCGACCTTGTTCACCAGAAGGTCCCCGGAGCCCTTTCTCTTCTTCTGGAATGTTGCCACAGAGAGTCCTTTGGGTCCTCCCACAGTGTTCCGCACCCACAAAGGATTTCAGAATGGGGTAGAGTGGACTCATCAGTAGTGAATGATTAAGTTAAATATTTTTCAGAAAAAGGAGACCACTTTCAGACTTAGCCAGACATACAAAATTACCATATGCAGCAGGTGCTTCTTGACCTAATTTGGAGGATAAAAGAGTGTGTTGTGATCCACTGTTTTGTACTCCATACCTCTGTCCCTCATCTCAGGGTGACCCTGCCCAGGTCATTTCTTTTCCTGTCTGTATTTCTTGGTACAGTGAAATGAGACAGTCTGTGGCTATTGTTGTTTCACCCCTTAGGCTCTGCAGTTCACCTCACTGTCCCACCTCATGGTGAACAGTTTGGAGATCATTTTAAAATTGTCTCCTCTCAGCTGTGAATTGACACAAATGGGCAGTAAATTTGCACTATATCTGTACATCATTTCTTGGAGATCAAGAGAAGTCATGAAGCCAGCTTCTCTAGCAGAGAGAGGGAGCACCCCAATTGTGGTATAGCACTGAGGGATTTCCCCCTTACCTGTGTCTTCCGGTGGATCATGTGGGTGAACAGTGGTTGTAAGAAGACCAGGAAACCTTCCTCATTTCCCTTCATGCCCCTGCTAGCTGTGTGCAGGGATGGCCATCCTTAACCCCTGACAAATGCTGCTTTTCCTATCAGGGGTGATTTGGTCTCCTCTCCTTATGGCTAAATCCAACACATCTTTAAGACCTACATTCAAGTCTTAGGAGGTTTTCTGTCACCTCCGTCCTGCATAGGTAGAACTGCATTTCCTGTCCTTGGTAATTTACACGGCATTATTAGCCTGATCCTTTGATTCTTACTATTTCACATGTTTCCTACCCCTTAGACTCCATACTCTCAGGGCAGGATGGCCCACTGTCCCTTCTTTGAGCCTCTGAATATCACGCACACAGTTGATGTCTCCTAAGTGCTAGCCCGGGAAGCAGCCCTTGTGCTCCATGCTCAGTCCTTGCTATTCCAGCACTCGAAGGTTTTCGGAACCCTTTGGTGTGAGCAGCACACCCCTCCAGCTGAACTTCTAAGAGTTCAGGATTTGAGATTCCTTAGTTCCAATTGCTTGTCAGCCACAACACAAGATCCAAGTTCCCTAATTTATCTTGTTTTTGCTGACATGGAACAAGACTAACACATGTAAGTACATCAAAGCATTATTCTGAATATTAACTCAGGTGAATACTGTATTAGGAATCTTTAGGATTTTAAAAAGATCATGCTGCAGAAAACATGGCACTCAGTAGATGTTAGTCATCACTATCATCATCACTGGTGCTGGTCACGAATTTTATTTGTGCGATGAGTGCAAGCTACACATTGGTCTTCTTTTTCATAGAGCTGCTGAGACTGGGCCTTGATTCCACCCGAGAGCTCTCAGACATGTTAAAATAGGGAAATCCCTTTGGGGCCTTTTGGAGTCAACCTTCTCTGTTGCTTTTAACTAAAATTGCACATAACACATCATAGGTATTCAATTAGTATCTTTAAAGTGGATGTTGGTTATGATACAGCCTCTCTATTGTATTTTATGTTGAATGCTCTTATGTTCTAAAATATACATTTTGAAACCTCTGCTCCAAAATGAATCACAATGCTGGCACCTTCTGCATCTCTGGATACTTTGCTTGTGTTAAAACCGGCTAGAAGTTTAGGATGCAAGCCGCTGTAGGATCCCGTGCTCCTGGGCAAGTTTGGTTTCCAGACTGAGAGCGAGGGACAAAGCAGTCTCACTGAGAGCGAGGACAAAGCATTGTCACTAGACTGAGACTCTAGCTGGTATTTGCAGGGTCTGCTCCATCAGCAGGGTCCAAATTCCCAGGCATCCCTCACCTGCAGAGCATGGGGACATGAGGGGCCTACAGAGAACTAATTACCTTTTTCCTGGTCTCACTGGAGAAAAACACAAAGATGAAAGGGAAGAATTTGCCCCTATTGTGTGAAGGGACAGTGAATGTTGGGAAAATTGAGAAAACATTCTCATTTCACACTTTACATTGTGATGTAACTATCACCACAGCTTTGGAATGTATTTATTTCTCTCTCAGTTTTTGATTTTGTCACATTTAGAAATATTTTACGTAAAGGAAACATTGTAGAACACAACAAACTGCTCTGTCTGTACAATTTTGTATTTTATTTATTTTTAAAGAGTAAAAGAAGGATAACATAGCAATAGGGAGGCTTACCGAATTACAGACAAAGTGGTAGGAAATTATCAATGGCTGTTGTTTTACATATTGTTATCTATAAGATAGTTTCTTAGGAAAACAAATAGACAAATAATAGTGAGTTACAGACAAAAGTGGTAGGTTATTATCAATGGTTTTTGTACTATATTTGGGTATCTTCAAAGTGGTTTCTAAACAAAATAAATAGAGCTATAGGTGAATGACCAATTGAATATTCATTGACTATTCTCAATGGTTGTTGTAAGAAACACATGGTAATAAACATACATCCATTTACAAAATAGCATAGGGGGCTGGGGATTTAGCTCAGTGGCACAGCGCCTGCCTGGCAAGTGCAAGGTCGTGCGTTCAATTCCCAGTACCAGAAAAAAAAAAAAAAAAAAATAGCATAGGAACAATACAAACATTACAGAGTTATGGATAGATTAGTAGGACGATATCAATGGCTGCTGTAATACATGGTGGTATCTTCCAAGGGGTTTCTCAAGAAGACAGAGATACCCAAGAAAGATCTAACAAGTAGTTACAGCCTAATGGTTGTGAAAAATAACATATTGCCTCCTCACCAGTGACTCCTTTCCCTGAGGTGTGACAGCTGGAACGAAGACCAGGATTGAAAAGAAGAACCGAGAGACTTGCACCTGTGTCTAGCAACAGGTTGTTTTCTTTTTCCTCTATAGTCATGATTACCTGGAGCTCCTCCATGGAGATGACAGTCTGGCCAGAAGAAGAAGGCACAGTATGCCCTGGGCCCCCTCATTCCTGGTAGACTAACTGGTAGGAGGGGTCTGAGCTCTGGAGCTTTTACATCAGAGGGCAGACCGATCTCCAGTGGTCACCTTTGCATTCAGGGTACGGCCCATGGGGCTTCTTAGGGCAGTTCCTCTTGAGGTGGCCTGGCTTTTAACAGTGGTAGCAAATGAATGTAGTTGATTGAGTTCTTCTTGGGGCCCCAAGAATCAGACTTAGGGTCTGTTTCTCTTAGTGCTGTAGCAAAAGCAGCTGCTTTTTCTTGGTCTCTTTGTTTTCTCTCCTTGGTCTCCTCCTCTTCATGGCTATAGAACACTGAGGAGGCAATTCTTACTAATATCTCAAGTGAGCCATCTGGGGTGAAAGCCATTCTTTGTAGCTTTTTCTCTCCAACCTCCCAGCCAATTTGGTATTCTTTCCCCATAATTATTTATGCCCCTTAGGGCATAGCTTATAGGTCAGGGTTGCCAGCACAGGCTTTTCTGCTGATGGAATTGTTCTTCTGCTTGTGCTAATACACGTTGGCCACAGCCAAGTGGCCTATACCCGAGATGTCAGAATTGGAATGAGATGGACTCACGGGGCGGAGAGATAGAGCGGCCACAGGGATGGGGAGGTCTAAACCTCCATGGACCAGGACCAGAGGGCTGCCGAGCACCTGCCAGGTGAGGCAAGGGAGAAGATGCCACCGCATTTCATTTAAGTCATTCACTGTTAAATAAGAATGTGTGGTTAGTAGATGCCTCTGGGGTCTTGCAGGCTCTTCCAGTTCTTTTCCATTGTTGAGGGGAAAAAAAAAAAAAACAGGAAAGGAGAAGATAAAACGCCACTTTTGGTTTTGGGGGATTTTCTTATTTGAAAAAAATTAGTCGCATAGGCACCCTTCAGTGAAAGGGAGGCTGGAAACCATTACCTTTAACACGGTGCTACAGTCTAGAAAAATGAGGCTTTTGCTCTGTTTCTAAAGGTTGGTGGGCAGATATATGCAAGCATTGCCAAGTAGAATTATCAGGTTCATTGCATAATTTCTCATCTAATGAAAACTTTTTCATAAACGTGGCTTACTATTTCCTGCTACTATCACAATAGGTAATTGTAACAAAACTTACTTAACACCCATTTCAGGGCTTTCAGGTTCTTGTAGTAATATATTGAACATAGAGCCAGACTTTGTTCCCAGGGTGAGGTCACAATGGCACACATGAAAGGGATGGTTTCATTGAGCTTGTGTGCTGGATAAAAATTTGGTTTTCTGAAGCTGCTGTGGTCCAGGTCAGTATTACCAGTGCAGGCTTTTCTGCTGATGGAATTGTTCTGCCTTTTGTGCTAATACATGGTGGCCACAGCCAAGTGACCTGTGAGCGTTTGAAACATGTCTAGTGCC